CGCATTTTTCGGAAAACTGCGCATGAATGCGCATGCATGCGCACTTTTTGCTGGACAAAATTCAATCTAATTTCAAAATGTCATTCAATTATTTACATACGTTACAAAGAATAATATATAGACTTAAGACATAATAGGAATTCGGCACAAAAGCTATTTCATAGTTCCAGCCCGCATTACATTGGTCATGGGCCAAAATTATCTTAATACCGGCTGAATTAATGGTTAACACGGTTAAATGGTCATAAAATTTTGATTAAATATCATGTAAATGAAATAGAATCATATGTATAGATGCGTATTAATACACACACATGAAAGTACATTGACTCATCTATAGTATTACTTTTGTATCGAAGCTAACAAATTTTTATATATAAATCTTTGATGGGAAAAATGCGCATCGGCCCATCTCTAATTATAAGGTGTTGTCACTATTAAAAGTTTTTAATCGGAATATGTCAAATTTAATGAACTTTAATTTGAAAATCCAGCATTAAGGGAACGACACTCCAACCATTTTGAATCCGGTATGCAGTGTTTTCCTTACGACTTTCCAGGTGCAAGGTCATATAATCTTTATTCAAACCAACAAAAAGAAAAACATGAACAAGAATATTTAAAGAAACCACCGGCTAAAAGAGTAAATTATAAAAAATTACAGGTTACTAGTCCTTTTGAACCTGGATTTGAGGCACTGGTCGGGATTGAGCCAACGAAAGATGGTAAGGACACACCACAAATAGGCATTAAACAGAAACTATGGTTATTTCGCGGTGCAAAAAATATCAAACTCCTTGAAACATATTGTCTTCCTACTTGTTCCGATAATGTTGAAGATTTTTTGGTGAAATTTAAGGCACAAATTAGGGATTCGTTTGCGAAACGTGGGGTTTCCTTATTTCCTGAATATAGCGATTGCTGGAATCTTGAACAAACTTTGGTGAATGTTAGGATAAATTTATTGGCAAGAGGGTGTCCAAAATCGAATGCTATTATTTACAAGATTGGAAAAAGAGATGTTTATCAAAAGTGGGAGAAAAAAATAACAAACAATAGGGATCTTTTAACTGATGACATTGACGATAAGGTATATGCACTTATTTGAGGATCTGTGTTTTATTTGGTTTGGAGCTTTTTTTGCAATGTATTTACACTGTTTACAGGATATTCCATGCGTAGATGACATAATTGGATATATAACAACCGGTCAATTTTCTTTTAGCCAAGGGCATGGATTTGGAATCGGATGTTGTTCTGTTGTCAAGTGTTTGGAAATGATCAAAGTAGAACGAAGGTATATTTAATTCTTTTATATTTTTAAATTATTAATATTTACTAATATGTTAAACTTTCGAATTCTAGTGAACAAAGAAAAATCAAAAGCTTCATTTTGGTTAGGAATATAACGAGTAGAGTTTGTCAACCCGCCACAATGGAGTTTCTTTATTGAAATTAAATTATTTAGACATTTAGGCATTTAGGCAAATTGAATTTAGGCAATTTCGACTTTGCAATTTAGACATTTAGACATTTATACAATTTAATATAGACAAATTTTGACATTAGCAAAAACAATTTTGATTAACAACATTAGTTTCCTTCAATACTAAAGCTACATCTACAAAGGTCTAAAGAAATCAAAGTAGTTGTTTTACAAAGAACAGTTGCTAATGCTTTGCCTTCCTCAATAGAAATACTAACACTTCCAAGTACTAAAGAAACCAGAATGACATGCTTTTTTATAATAATAATTTTCATTAAACCATTTATCGATTCCATCTTCCAAATAATAGCTACTAGATTTAGTATAACTCGTGTATTCAAATAATGGCTTGGGATAAGTTGGAAGGATAATTCTGAAAAGGATTAATAGAACTTGTTTCATATACCCAATTAACCTGGTCGGGTTATCAAACGGGTTGATCGATTAGGAGCACTAATTAAAGGTTTACAAGATCCATTAAATACAGAAATACGGCAATTAGAACAGCAAGAGATCAACACTGGAATATCAACAAACCCGATATTTCAACTTATTAGAGTTAAATTTGCCAGTGTGTTCTATTGATAAAATATATGGCATATTTTGCAATTTACACCAAAGCATTTTAAAACATGTTAGTTATTCAAAGTTATGGATGTAAATTTATTTTTAATTGGGTTTTTCCAACAACTATTCTATCACTATTCATTAAAAGCAATACAGTATAATCAATTAATAGGTCTCTGAGCAATCCTTTATGAAAGAATTTGCAAAAAAATTGTACAACTTGTGCAATACGAAAAGCTTCCGTTCCTTTGAATAATATCGTGACAATATGAAATCACAAGAAGCAAAATAAATATAGAATTGGTGATTTCGTCCACCTCAATATTCCCGAATACAATCAAATACATAGCGACCGTATGACTCTTTCATGCAAAATTCTTGAAATTTTATAAAATAACATGTATCGAGTTGGATGTAAGTCAGATATTCCTGAAATTACATACAATGCAACAGAAAATTCTTTCTTAGGGCCTGATCAATTTCATGAATTGAAGTGTCACATGCATAATCCTTATTGTAAATAGACAATGTAAAATGTAGTTTAAGAAACGGTGCAAAAAAAATAAAAAAAAAATCAATGCAAATGTAGATGCCTTGTGGAGAGTTGCCATCCGAGCAATAATAACTGTACAAATCTGAATGTAACTAACTTGTAATGATAGGAATCTAATGTATATAATTAGTACTTATGCGTTTTGCAATTAATTATTGCTAGAACATTATGTGTAAATTTTGCTAACAAAATTTTTAAATCTTATTCGCTTATAATTTCAAAAAATATCAGCACATAGTTTTAGAATCAACTTTAGGTTGGTTTGAAAATTCTTTATCCATCTGAGTGAATTTAAAATTTCATCCCAACTTAAGTATATTTCAGCAATACAAAAATTGAAACATAATTTTCATTAAGCTTGATAAAATTAACCTAACAATGCCAAAACTTGATACTCGTAAGCACCTATTTCATGGCCATTCATGCCGAAGGACATCCCTTTTTCTAGATGCTAACACATAAAAATTAAATTATAACTTTGAAAAAAAAAAAAATAAAAATTAAAAGTAAAATATTTTTTTAAGCATACTGGACCAACTTTGCCGACAACTTCTTGATCATTGTACCAAGTTTTAGCAATGTACAATTCTCTACGATCCTAAAACAGTTCAAGTAATATGATTATAATGAAAACTTATCAACAATATGTGCTAATATATTTACCGCTTCGTGACCTCCAAAGAGAGGAACAAAATGTTTTGGACGACATGGACCTCGACTAAATAGAATTTATAATTTTAGATAATTAAAAAAATATAGTCGCAACATATGAAAGCAAAAAATTTTACCCTCCAATCCAACGATACTGAGATTGATCACCAGAAAGAACTTCATATTGATTCAACATGACTTCATTACCATTATAACCGATGACTAAACCACGACCAGGAACAACATATCCAACATGCCTTCCTTCTTCATACCATCCTCGACCAATTGCGTTACCTCCAACCATCCAAGAACCTTCTGGGATTTGACCAATTCGACTTTCAACCCATTTCGATGCCTTTTTATTTTAACAGTGTTAGTTTCAAGTGATATACATCAAAAATGACCGCAAAACCATACCCAATGTTCTTGTGCGATATCACCCATATTTCATGCATATATAGTAAGAATAAATGATGTAAAAGTTCAGACACAATTAAAATTACCACTATAACGAGAGGCAACAAACGTGAATATATAGGAAACCTTTATTTTACATGATTTAAAATTTTCAAGTCTGATTAGTTCACTATATACTAAAACGATTGTGTCATAATTAAAAAAAAAAAATATGATTAATTATTTTTGAATCCAGACCAAAATGTTATTATGTCATATATATTAAATTGATCCGGGTTCAAAAATAATTATCTATATTTGTTTTCTCAAACTATAGTATATGTTATGTGTCATTTTTAAATTATGTAAGTTATTATTGTAATTGACGCATTTTTTTCAGTCTCACCGATTGAAAATGACTCGAGCCAAGTTTAAATGCGAGACTGATAATTTAACTGATGCTGGTGATAATAAAATATCAAAAAATGTGTTCTTTTACTGCTACTTATTTTTTTTTTGACTTTGTAATATTTATGGATTATAAAGCCTTTGTTGTAACTTATAATGACCAAAGAAATATAAAGAGAGCTTGAAGGACAGGAATATTACGAATATTTATTACGATTGCCTAACCTAGTTTAAAAAAAATCAGGCCTTCACCGCAAACGGATTAAGTTCGTAATACTGAAGAATTCTTAGTTCATAATATTTAAAACCATTTCTATATAGCATAAAATATTCAAAAATATTTATCCCATAATAAATGACGAATTTATAATCTTCGATATTGACAGATTAATTATATTCAAAATACCATCCATTTTTGAAAAATTGCTAATAAGTTATAATTAGGCCACTATTAAAAAAATAAATTATACAACCAACAACGATAGCAACATACTCACAACAAATGGCTAAGCTTATATTACACACAACGCATCACCAAATTTCATCTTTAAAGACACAAGCTAAGTGATGCACTGATATCTTCTTTTAGTAGAGTCTAGAAATAGTCCTAGTTATAAGTTTTTAACTAACTATCACACATGTGTAACAATTCTGATATTAATTTGTAAACTATTTACAAAAATTGTCAATAAAAAAACCGAAACCACCAGGTCTCATTCTTTAAAAAAATAAAATTACGGTGCTGAGTCATATTTCGTAAAAATTCGGTATACTCGAGTATAATTTATTAAACATACATATATTTAGTATTTAACTGCACTATATTATTTATTTTTTTAAAAAATTTTATACGTCAATAAACATTTTTTAAAGAACCATCAGCAAGAACATCTTTTGAAGATAGAGCAAGAACTAATTTCATAAGCATAATACAACTTTCTTTGTAGTCTAAAATAGATGTAATTTCGCCTTAATAGTTTTTTTAGAAATCTCGATACTTTCATCTTATTAGGAATGTTAATGTCGTGACTAAAACTGGGATCCCAGTTGACTGAAGTTGCACCTGACTGAGATTAGCCCCTGAAATTAGATTCCTGCACGCATTAGTTAGCTGTTTTAGGCAGGTGCCAACTTCAGTCAACTGAAGTTCTCAGTCACGACATTAATACGTTTGTTATATTTGTCAACCTTTACTGTAATATCGATACACATTAACCTTCATTTCCGATCATTAACCATTTCTAATTTTGCTCTGTTTATCCTTACGTACAGTATTTGACATTATAATGTGACATGTACGTAGTGTGTGTTTCTTTCTTTATGATACGTATATTGATATGCCTATACTATTTCAGTATATTGTACCTCTATCACTATCGCTATCTTGTAATATCCCAGAAAGGTAATTTTTACTCCTGCCTACATCTACATGTACAGTATCCTCCAAAAGTTTATCACGGTTATTAATTTATGCAAATGTATAATATACGCAAATTGTGAAAATATCCGGAAGATAATGTTCAGCAACGAAGACCACAACCAAGAACATATGGAGTGTTGAAAAACAGTACTTTTAGAGGAATGGAATATGCTTGATCATCAATTTTCGTGAACTTAATAAATAATATGCCAAATCGTATTGCCGAAGTTATTGCATATGATTAATTTGCGTAAATGCTAAATTTGCATATTTACAAATTTTATGTTAAAGTTTTTTGTGTAACCGGTATAAACTTTTGGAGGATACTGTACATGTAGACGTTTATGGTTAAAGAAAAAATTCGAATCACTTAAAAACAACTTAAATCCTAATAAAACAGTCTTCTTCCATCTAAAATTATGATACTATTTTTTTGAGTTTTTTTAATTTTTTACCTTTTTTCTTCTGATTTTTTGCCGTATGATAAATTGATAATTACTGATCATCAAAGAACATAGTGAAAAAACTACAACGAAAGAATCATAGAACTCAGCCCCTAACCAACACAAAATTTACGCGATTTGGCATTTTATCGGCACAGCAGAGATCAAATTCATGCTTCGCCACATTCACTATATTTAATTTACCAATAACATTTGATAGAAATTAGTTATTGGATGTTACGCATCCAATAGTAGTTTTATTTAGCAGGTGATAAGAAAAAATTTTCTTTCCAAAATAAAAATAAGAACAAAAACAAATCTACTATTTTTTAACATATTTATTATAGGCGGCAAAGCCACCTACATGATCATGATTCTATATAATTTACTAATCAGGAGATTTCAATAAATAAATAAATAAATAAAGTTTACAATAGAGCAATAGAATAGAATGAATAGAATTTACAATACTGAATCAGCATTATACAGCATCAAAATCATATAAATACGCGAGTTCTTGTACGGCTAATTTTTCATTCCATTACTCTACTACTTACTACATACGCTTTTAAAAAAACTTCGGTAAAGTACACATTTTTTAAAAAAACTTCGGTCCAATATATACATTTTTTTAAAAAAACTGATTTTTTTTAAAAAAAAGATCATTTTGCACGCCTTATAAATCGCTATTGATGTAGAATCTACTACTTACTACATACGCTTTTAAAAAAACTTCGTTAAAATACACATTTTTTAAAAAAAACTTCGGTCCAATATATACATTTTTTTAAAAAAACTGATTTTAAAAAAAAAAGATTATCATTTTGCACACCTTATAAATCGCTATCGATGTAAAATAATCGTATAAATATAATAGGAAGACATTGGTGAACGTTTTGCCGACCCTAAAATTATAACAATGCACCTTTCATAAGAGCAAGACTGTCAATCTCTTTCAACATTGCTTTTCCGAATCCCTCAAGACCACCATTATTCGTACATCGAAAAAATCACAACTCATTTAAATACCGAATCATCAATCTATTGTATGAACTGGGAAAGCTTCAGAGAAGCACTCCACACAAACAAGATCATGGAAAGTGTAGATCCCACAGAAAATAATATTTCGACTAAAGGAGGCGGAAATATTTTCCAAGAAGAAACATTGACCTAATTATATTTTAGAAATAATTCCATTTCTTTGACTGTTGGCAGTACATTGGAAAATGCACTATATATTAATTCTTTAAATATAAACCGAATGATCACATCTTCGGTGGGAAAAAATTCAACAAAGTACTTAGTAAAAACTTAGTAAAAATTTAGTAAAAACTTAATAAAAACAAACTACCCCAACAACATTCCGAATTTTTTTGCAATCATGTGAATAGAAATCTGTTATATAATTTAATTACGATGTATAATTTTTTTTTTTTGATAATTCAAATAAATAAATTCTAATTATTCAATATAAATTCTAATTATTCAATATCTGACATGCATTTTTCCTGAAAAATAAAAAATAGCAAACGTTTTTTGATTTTTTAAAAAATGTATGAAGATTTAATATAAGTCAGTTTCTTAATGTTAATTCAAATAATATATATTTTTTAGTAACAACCTTCGATTCATTATAAATTATTTACCAAACCTGATAAAAACCAGGTAATATCATTAAAAGAGATGGTATGACAGCTATCATAATTTAATAAAATTATTAAAATAAACATAGAAAAATGAATTAAATAAAATCTCAAGTACAATATTTCTCTTGAAGATTTTGATGATCCAAATAAAGTATTTGGTGAGGTTTTTGATGTTACTTTTGAGAAAACGATGTCTTGGTAATTTCTATCGAAGAATTATTAATTTCTCGTAAATATGTCAAGTTTAGTAATAATTACATGTTTATTTGTATAAATAAAGCCGATGTCAAACTATTCATAATCGGCAAAATTTCTTAAGCACAACCAATTGAATCATTACAAAATTCACGTAATTGCAAAACATTCGGGGTGTCGTTGGGGTAGTTGTAAAAACACCACTCTTAATTCCTTAGATTTTTCGTCTAATAATTTTTGATGCCAAAACGGCAATTTTATTGGCCGATACGCTTCATGCAAACAATACTTTAAATATTTCTAATAGAAGTGTATCTGAAGGTAGAAAAGCATTTGTAACAATACTTTGCAATAATACCATGCTAACATTAGATCTTTCTTTTAACCTTCTTGGTTCTGAGGGTGAAAAGGCACTTGCTGGTGCGCTGCGTAATAACAACACTAAATTTTTTAGATATTTTTTTTAATAATATTAGTGACGCGGAAGGGAGGAAGTTGGTGAAAGCCATTCACAGACACCTCGCTTTAGCATCTGGAAATAATATTGGTGCTGAAGCGAAAATCATATATTGGAATTATTTGAATAAAACTTTAATAAAATATTTGTAAAAACAATATCAGGTAATATCGAAAGCACTTATATAAATACTATTGAATGTAAAATGCAAAAATATTATTGGTTGCGAAAAAAATTAATATTGCCAAATTGCCGAATTGCGCTGCTATTTGTTTGTAAAACGAATTCTGTGCAAAATGCAGAATTGCACTGAAACAATTTTAAAATTGTCGGTATGTTTGTTGCATTGTTGCGTACCGCTTATTATTTTTTTTTAAATCGAAATGGAACAAATCATTAACGATTTTAAACAACTAAATTTTAATGAGTGTAAAAAATTGGCAGATACCAATGCACCGGACGGAATTTATTGGGTTGGT